GATACATCGGTTGATGCTGCTGAAGTAAATCACGCAACCGTATCTTCTCGATTGAATGCTTTGATCCCGCGGTTTAATCGTAAAATTAAAAAAAAAAAATCGTTGAAAAAGACATACGCCTAAGAACGAAGAAACTAGAGAAACGATTAAAGAGAGAGGCTCTGGCCGATTCTGCGGTGCCATAGGATTTACCGAATCCTTGGAGTACGCGGCGACAGACACCGAAGAGGCTAGCATGCCGCACGGCGCGCGAAATCGCAGGAATCGCAAGGGTCGCAACAACAGAAGACGCGTTCAAAGACAGCGAACACCCGGCAGAGCTACGAGCGACAACGAAACCACCGTAGAGAGTCCAGAGAGAATCGACGTCGAGGAGGAGGAGGAGGAGGAGGAGAAGGACGAAGAGGAGACGAACAACTCCGGGAACTTAGATGTGCACAGACGAGACGAAACTGACGATCAGCCAAGAAGTATCGAGAACAATGAGAGAAACGCGACCGTGGACGTTGACGAGGGGGCGATCGCCTCGAACGAGATGCCGTCTCACAATCGGAGGTCTCAAGAGAAGTGTAGAATCGAGATGGGCACCGTGCAACCGGGCATCAAGGTTATGAAAATCACGACGATCAGTAGCTCGCCTTTGGAGGCGAAGATCGATCACATAGCTGGTGTTGGTATCGTGGAGACTGGCAGCAAGATCGAGATAACAAAGAACGAGGCTATCGTGACCATTTCCGAGCCCGTGGACCCGTTCTCTCGCGTCACGACGAGAGCGGACAAGAAAAAAAGCGACTCGAACGAGGAGTGTTCGTTGGCTGGAAGCAACGAGAGGCTGCAGATCCGCGACGTCAGCGACTGCGACACGGTGGAGACGGATCACGTGAGGCCGGTAATCGTCGAAATGGAATCGGACGTGGAGAAGGAAAGGACGTGGACAGAGCTGACTGCTCGAGCCGGATTCCAGCCGGATTTCGACGAGAGCGACCCGTCGACGCAAGCTCCTGCGGAGGCGAGGCACGCGTGGGACAGCGTGATGCCGCGCGAGGTGGAGAGGAAGTTGCGCAGCTTCATCGAGGGTCTAAAATTGCCGACTTACGCGGAAGACGTGGAGGAATCGGCGAGAGCGACGACTGGCCGCGGCCGGATCAGTGGCTCGGCGCGCAAGAAGTCAGAGAGGAGGAAACGCGCCGCTTTCGAGGCGCAACACGCGCACTGCCAGGCGGCTAACAGGTTCTTGGACATCATTCAAGAGGAGGGCGAGAAACTGTCCGAAGACGAGGAGCAGCACATCAGGGATTTTATTAACGAGGAGATCGGCAAGTACCGGCGAGAGAGGCATTCCTCTAACTTTGAACAGACGACAGTGAAGATAAATGTGATCGACGTGGACGAAGAAATGCCTGGGAGAAAGGAAGACGACGAGAGGGGCACTGTGAAGCCGGACGAAGCGGAAACCGAGTGTGAAAGTAAGGAAACGAGGGAAGAATCGAGGCTGATTGGCGAAGAGGATTCAAGGGAGGAGAATTTAAATTTGAAAGAGAGCGATGATACGCGAGAGTCGGAGAGAGAAGGAGAGGAGAACGTTAACGTTAAAGATGGGGTTGCCGTTGAGGATGAATCTGTCGAGGGTAGTGGATCGTTTAAAATAGAGGAGTTGGAGGGAAGTATAGAGGAAGGAGCCTCGGAGAGGAAGGACGACAACGTCGGAGAGATCGAAGAAGTGGAAAGTGAAATATTGATAACATTGAGCGGTGACAGCGCGAACCGGAGTGATTCTGAATTGAATATGGAAGGCGAAACGAACGGACAAATACTAGCCGAAGATGCGAGTCAGGTACAATTAGATGAAAGCAGAACCGATGCTGTTGAATCGAGAGAAGCCAGTCAAGAAAAAGTGGCACTTGTTCGAGACGATGCTTCGGCGGAGAAACAGTCAGAAATTTCTGAGAGTTCGAACGTCGGCGAACGTTGCACGATAATCGAGATCCGAGAGAATGGAGAAGAAAAATTAGAATCGGAGGAAAGTCAAGATTCTTCAGACGTGATGTCCGAGGAAGTGAAGGTTGAACAATTGGGAACGAATGCTGAGAGTAAAACTTCGACAAGCGGGACGTTGATCGAAGAGACGGCAAGGGAAGAAAAATTGGATTTAGGAAATTCCGAGGCGATCGAAAATGGGGAAAAGTCTGCAGAGATTAGCGGAGAATCATCACGTGCGAGTGAAATCAAACCTGTAAAAGTCAATGAAGAAAGTGAAACGAAGTCGGAAGAGATCGATCGTGATGAACAGTTAGATGAGAATGAAATGAAATCTGCAAAAGTTGAAGAAAAATCGCTGCATGGAAATGAAACAAAATCTAGAGAAACCAAGGAGGAACTCTCACTAGAAAATGAAACAAAGTCTGCAGAATTGATCGAAGAAACGGGGACAGAATCTACGAAAGTTAATAAAGAATTGTTGCAAGAAAATGAAACAAAATGTGTAGGGGGAGAATCAGCAAAAATCGATGAAGAAAAAGAAGCAAAACCTACGGTAGTTAATGGAGAATCGTGGGAAGAAAGAGAAACAAGCAAGCCTACAGAAAGCAAGGAAGAATCGTTGCAAGAGAGAGAGACAAAATCAGCAAAAGTTGATGAAGAGTCACTTCGAGGGAAAGAAGCGAAACCCACTGTGCCTGTGCTCGACGGAGACTCGCCAGAGGCAAAAGAAACGAAATCTGAAACAAAAGTGGAGGAAGAATCGTCGCGCCAAGTTAAATCTGCGCAGGAGATTAAAACGAAACCTACGGAAGCCAGTCGAGGATCGTCGCGAGAGAACGAGGCAAAGTCCGCAGAAGCGAGTGAGGAATCGTCGGGATCGAGACGTTTGTCCGCGGAGACCGTACGAACTGAAAGATTTGCCAAACCAACGGACATTAATATCTCTGAATCACGTGTAACGAAATTTGTAAGCACTGAGTCATCAACGACGAGGTCCTACTCCACGGAGAGTAAGCACTCGAAAATCGTATCTCGAGTAAACGGTGTTGATAGATCGACAAAAGAGAGATCTCGTCCTCCGACTCCACCGAAACGATCCTCCAGTCTATCGAGCATCGATCTCCAGGACAAAACGATCTATTCTCGCGTTCACGATGATCCATCAGCCTGTCCGCTGCGTCGCAGAAAAGAAGCCAAAGAGACGACGGACGTTGAGAATCCTCCCACTCGTCCACCTCTTCCGAAAGAGAACATCGCTGCAACCGATGCATCATCGTTCGCACAACCTCGCAGCGTACATCCTTCGCAGGCTCGAACGACGATTGGCAGCCTGGGAACGCTATTGACGTTAATATCGGGCAGTGACGCGACCGTCGAAAATATTCGCGACGCCTTGAGGAACGTGGACCAGCCGGCTTTGGCTCTGCCCGAGAACGCACGCGAGATAATCGATGATCTAAGGGCGGACGGGAGGTGCGCTTGTTCCGAGAGCGACAGCATCGAATTGCGCAATTGCGTTGAGAACGGCGTCGATCTTGGCAATGGAGCAACTCCTGAAATAACGCGTGACCACTTGGCTCGAAGAGAGACGCGCGAAAAATCGCCGGTGTCCAAGTCGTCGGGGAAATCGGTGGCGCGCGTGCCGATCGAGCGAATAGTGAAAGTGGTTATGGAACCGTCGGAGGATCCCGGCGAGGACCGGCCGACAGTCTCGAAATCTGGCAAGATTCGTGGAACGTCGACGGGAGAAGAGAAGATTGGACCGAGGCAGGCGTTACGTCATGTTCGCGAGAAGGTTATCAAGAGCGAAGCGTCAACAACATTAAGCACGAGGACGGTCGAAACGGAGGAGAGAACGCCGTCGCCCGGCGGCAAAGTTGAAAGCTCGAAAGACGCGAGAGAGTTGACGACCAGCGAGCAAGAGTTCGAGGAGATATACAAGTGTTCCACTTTGGGGGACCGTGACCGAAAGGAACGTGGGAAATGCGAAAGCCCGTCCGAGATATTAGACGCTATTCTGAATATGCAGCGGGGACATTCCACGGATAAAGAGAAGCTGGAGACGGATTATCACGACTCGTCTAGCAGCGCGACTACCTTGAGCACGGTGATGTACAGTCCGATGGATGCCTGGCAGGCGGATATTTATTCGATAATAGCGGAAGAGGCGAGGAAGAGCAAGCTTAAGCGGCAGGCGGAGAGAGAAGTCGAGTCATCGAGTTTGAGAAGCAAACTTCCCTTTCTGAAAGCAGACTTTGAGTCTTTGCACGACGAGGTCCCGGTGACGCCTGAACCGATACCCTACTCGCCCGTCGAGGACTTGTATTACGTGCCTGTCGAGAGCAGGACGAATTACGCGAACGATCGGTCGCGGGAAGACGAGACTGTCAGCGGGCCAGGGTCCCTGAAAGACCTTTGCATCAAGAGAATCTTGTCGATGCCGTACGGTCTTCACGTGATCAACGAGATCACGGTGCCCGAGTTCGACGTCTTCAGAAGCCTACGATCTATCCCGGTGTTTGCTAACAACGTAACGAGCGATGAGATTAGAGGCGTCCCATTAAACACGCATGGAGTGAATGAGCGACAGGCTGAGAGAGCTAGACTAACGACAGCTTCGCCGGGATCAAAGCGTCCTGACGCGCGCGAAATCGCTGTTTCAGACCAGGGTAAATCAGAGCGATTAGAACAGAGGCCGCGCCGTCAAACGAGCATGGCCAGCGACAGCTCGGGCACGTGGGTGGGTTTGTCGACGACCAAGGACCCCAGGTTGCTCGTCTGTTTGTCCCCGTCGCAGCAGAAAACCGCGATAAAAACGAGCGCCGACGATTTGCTGGATCTGCACAAGAAGTTCTTGAACAGGCACAGCTACTTCGACGAGGAACCGCCACGGCGAGTCCCTGTACCCAAGTATCGAGTCGAGTTGCTGCCGATCGGCGAGAGCAAGGAACGTGACAGAAAACACGACGGAAAATCGACCACGACGAGCAGACTGTTGGAAATTATCAAGGAAAATTCCGACAGTTCGAAACGCTCGCGTAGCACGAGACTGCCGAAGTCGAAGAACGAGGCGAGGGTGAAGTTCGACGAGACGAGCCGTTCGGACTCTAGATCGTCCCACGCTAGGTCGAACACTTTCGACAAGGGTCGAGAGCGGTTGAAAGTCACTCGCTTGTGCGACTGGTTGAACCTGGCGAGAGGCGAGGAGCCGGTGGACGACACGCTCTCCGATGATTTATTAATAGAACCGTCGGTTGAGAGACGAGAGTTTGATAAGAGACGATTCAGCGGACGAATTCGTGGCAGCGAGCGCGCGGACGTTACGAAACAGCCAGCCGCGGAACAGAAGATCGGTGGGGAACGAGCGACGCCAGTTCACTTTATCAGCGCCGCGAGTCCGCCGGACAGGCCGGAGCCACCGGTCAGAAGCTCGACGCCTTTCAACAAGAGCCCGTTGATCACGTTGAACAGTGCCATAATCGACAAGTCGATTACCGCGACGCCGGACACCGCTGGCAAGAGGACACCGCCAACACGTAGGGCTGTCGACCACTCGCGTTACAACGTGAATCCGGCGTTGATCGACGACAGAGTGGAAGTGCCGCCGCGGGTGAAACGCGTGGTGAACGTGGACAAATCGTGCATCGACACGACGAGCATCTTCGATCAGAATCCACCGAGGAGTCACCTGCAGCCGCGGCGATACAAGAACAACGAGGTGGAGGAGAATGCGAAACACGTGGCGGCCACGGAGATCATGCAGAATCTGAAGAAACTGCAAACCGAGACGGAGGATCAATTGGAAGGTCTTGGAAAGTATTCCCTGTCGCAGGAGTATTTCGCCCAGCAGTTGAGGTACATCGAGCTGCTGGAGAATCAGTTGAAGAACGTGATATTGGCGGAAGAGGAGGAGAAGGAGGCGTTCGAGGAATTCCAGAATCACGTGAGAGGGGAACGGGAGAGGGCAGGAGCCGCGAAGGATGAGCCAAAGAGGAAGCCCGTTGACCCGGATAAGCCTTTCGATCGGGCTGGAGGGAACGTCTCTGGAGACAGATCCAAGGACGACGATTCCCGGGTGGAGAGCCAGAGCTGGCAGGAGAGGTCCGAGAACGTGGAGAGCGATCGTTCGGAGACGATCGACAAACACGGTCGCAGGGACTTCTCGAGGAAGGTGCGCCACGAGAACGGTCTGCGCGAGGAGGAATCGTGCGAGGAGATCGAGCACGTGGAACAACATTCCGTGATCACCAAGAGGGGGGAGAAAGTCGCTGAGAAGATGAGGCAAGAGAGCGGCTCTCGCGGAAAATCGTCCGCGGGAGATAAAACGACGGCTAAGGACGAGCGTCGTTCTCGCAAGGAGAATACGTCCTCTCAGGTGTCTGACGCACGCAAGGCCGTCGAAGCGAAGGAGAAGTCGAACGCTTCGGCGGTGGTGGTGAACGGCGAGGCCTTTCGACGCAAGATGTACGACGAGTACGTGCACAAGGTCCTCGAGCGAGAGGAACGGAAACATCACAAGGTGGTGAAGATCAGCACGCGCGAGGACATTCAGCGGGCGAGTAATAAATTGGCCAAGAGCGGCATGAGCGCCGTTGAGAGGGAGTTCATCGAGAAGGCGAGGAACAGATTGAACAAATTCGGGATTAAGTTGGACGAGAGCGAGCCGGACAACGAGAGTGACAAAGGTGGCGACGTCACGGTGGGGAAAAGCGAGAGAAAAACGACGAACGACAGAATGCAGGAGACGGAGAAGAATATGGTAAAGGCGAAATGCTTGATCGACGGGAAGCAGCTCGAAGACGCGAACAAATTACCGAAGCATCTGCAAGAGTTCCTCAAAATGTCCGCAACGTTCGACGACGGTGAGTCCCACCGAGAATCGAGGATTGCTGTGCTACCTCGTCGTTGTTTTCCATTTGCTGCCCAATTGAGACGTATCGTGTCCCGAGTGTTGACCGCCTGGATTTGGATTTTGAGAGAGACGAACGGCGTGCCGGATATTGGATACATATAACAATCACTAACGCACGTTCGTGGACTTGTCGTTGATTGCATTGCCGTAGGTGTCCCGTTGCTTGTCGTATTGCTCGTCACTAACTTGATTACTCATTGTCAACGAATAATTTTTCTTTTCTCTCTCTCTCTCTCTCTCTCTCTCTCTTTCGTTGTATTTGCAAAGGATTTATCAGACAAGCATAACTTGGGAAAGCAGTCTCTGAGATGTAGCAAATTGTAGAAAATGCACAACGAATATTTTTACGTACTCCGTTCTCGAATACATATCTTTCTATCTTCCTCATTGTCTATTCTTGTTAGTTCTCAGCTTTCAATTAGCAATTTTGTTAAATCGTTGAAATATAACGGCTGTAAATTGAAATTGAATTTAAAAGAACAGAGAAAAAGTATTAAGCGATATTTACTTAACGACAATTAAAACATTCGACGAGTCGAAAATATTCTATCTTTCATATATATGCATATATTTTAAATCTTCTTCAAACAAGCTTGTTCGAGCTCAAGTTCATATAGCTATCACTTCGATAAGAGTGACGTATCTAACAATTTATAACGTGATGACAAAAATCTGTTATTTTGATCAAATTGAAAATAATGTAGGGAGGAAAATATCTCTTATTATGTCAAAGTCAGCGTTAATCGATCTATAAAATCGAACTATAAAATAACGATGTGTGGACAGATATGTCAATGATTGACACTTTGACACTTGACGTATTTCAATTATGATCAAAATGGTTGTTGCATTAAAGGGCTGCGTATATTTGGCTAGCAGGTTTTATTTACCCAAATATACTTTATATATACTTGGTTTAATTTTAGGGAATTTAGGGACAAGCAGAATCACAAGATTTCTTCTTATAGAATTTTATTTTAAAAAAGATTGTTTCACTTTTAGGATTCGTTAGGTTTTAATTAGCTTCTAAATAATATATTCTCAGTTGGTAACTTAAATTAATATATTTAATTGCAAATATTTCCTTTCAAATAATTTTTATCCAACAATATGGAGGATGAAAGATATTCAGAAGAGTATTAAATTCACTCCGCTGATTACGAGACATGTAATATTAAAAATATATAAAGTATTGTATATTTAATTCGTTCATCGTGTCGAAGTTGGTCGGTAAGCTATATCAATTTGATTTTGCATTACAAAACGTACGATAAAAGTATTTTTATTTTTTTAATGTTGTGTAACAGCAACTCATGAATAATATTAACGTTTTACGCAAGATACAGAAATTAAACGATTTAAATTTTTATTCTTTAAATATGTATATATGTAATTGTTTTCCTTCAATCGTAGAACATTTTCTTTGTGAATGTAATAATAATTCATTGATAAAATAGAATGTAGATTGAACAAAAATTTCGACAAACATTTTAAAAATATCAGCAATAAGAAATTAATAACTTTCACTATAATTTAAAAATAATAAATAAAAGAATTGCTTATTTTCTAGTTTATATCTTGTGTATTTTGCTATGAATGAAATATATTTCTATTTTTAGAATTGAAACATTTCCAATTGCTAAAATATTCTACAATATCATCAACGATTTTCTTTGCATTCATCAGGTGTTTTTGTCGAGCAATTTGCTGAAATTTGTTTCGCATAAAATCATATTTATTTGTATAGAAATTTATCACGATGTAAAGATGTGCAACCAGAAATATAAAGCGTGTTATTTCAATATTACGTCAATTACTTTGATATAAGATATAACACGCACAAATATTAAAATCGTTTTTTACTTCATGCATGTAATGCAAATGAAGAGATAAACAAGCAAAATAGACGTGAAGAACTAAATAGCGAAAAAAATTAATTCGAATTATGCGTAAGTTCATTTCCAGAGGCATCGGCGAAGGAATTGATTCGAAGTTAATTGAAAAAAAGTTTCTCGAACCGTTTAAATCTCATGAAAGATAATGAAACGGGAAATGAGATACTGAGAAACGAGGGGGTTATATGCTGAATCGATAGATGAGAAACGGATTGGTTTCTTGCCAATAAAGTGGAAATGCCGAGAGATAAGTTTGTTGGCTTTCGCGTGGGTCGTAGGCTATCGTTACAACTAGAACACAAAATTATTACCTAACGCTGTAAGCATTCCTACTGTCGTAAATTTTTATACTCTCTTTTCGTACCGCATAAAAAACTGTCGCGTTGAATTTTCAGTCTCGTCGTGTAAAAATTTTTTTTTGAAATATTTGAACCAAATAGCAAAGATTCGTAACGTTATATGATTTTAACGTATAAAGTAAATACTTTAACATTTTTTTTATTGAATTTGTGTATTTAAATATTTTATTGAAGCTAAGATTGAAAGCTTCAGTTTGATCAGTTTTAGTTTAATCAAGTATACCACAGTTAGAATTAAAGTAATATATATGCCGTAATCATGCTCCCGTTTCGATGCATGAATGCAGCATTTATCAAAAACGCTTGTTATCTTATCAATAATTGTGAAAATAAATAACTGACACCGGTCACTTAGATTAAATATATTTAATTACTGAAATATATAATAAAGAAGAAATACAATGTGCCAAACTAATTTCAATAAATTAAACATATTATACATAACTAATTAGAATTAGTGTTGAATTCAATTATCATCACCATCAACACTCATTGATGTATTTACAAAAGTAATTGAGAATTAATTATACAAGATAAGGAAAGTTCATTTCGACTGATTTGAACTCCAGCGTTCGAAGAACTTAGCAAAGTGTCAAATACAGCAAAAGTCCGTGGGAAGAGGTTTCGAGCTGCACTTTTGCCCAACATGTCGCAAAAGTGCGAGGAAAGAGAAAGAATATTCTCTGAGCGTCGTGATAGATATCATCTATCTACCACCTACAGTATATTTCTCTTCTATGTCGAATCAGAAGGACCCAGCCGAGGCTGGTTGCAACGCGGTTCGTGATTCACTCGAGAATGAGAGCCTAAATATAGGCCTGATCGAGAAAATAGGCCAGCGCTCGCTAGAAACGTTTCGTCGTTGCGTCCAGCTTCGCGCCGGAACCATCTCGTCTCGATTTTAGCTATTCCCGACGGAATTGCGACACCGGCAAGCTGTTACATCCGCCGAGTAGTGGCGCGAACCTAACCCTGGCGGGACCTTCACCCTTTTCAACCGGTCGGAGTTTCCACGTTTCACGCAGGACTGCTGTGTCTGAACAAATGTGCTTTCAGAAAGAGAGATCAGTATTTCAAATCTCTACTGACAATATTATTAAGAACCAAGCCAGTTGCAAATAAACTATTAATGTTAAAGGAATTGTATGTAGGAGTTCTTGAGTTGAAATCAGTGTGAAAGTTTTTGTAATTAGCAATTGTTGAAATGGACGTTCAAAATGAATATTTCCTAAAAGATTAGTTAGTTAGTCGTTTTTCATTGTGATCAAAAATCGTGAAAGCTTGGATCTGTTACTGAATTGATGTCAAGAATTAAGCCGGTTGCAAATAAAGTATTACTACGAGAGAAATTATATGTGAGAGTTCTTCAGTTGCAAATTAATAACCGTAGCTTTTGCAATTAGTATTGAAGATGAGTATGGAATTTTTGTGATTGGTAAGTTGTTATAAGAATTTTGCAATCACTAATTATAGAAATTCTTGTAGTTGATATTGAAGTTTCGTAGAGAAATCGCTTCAATCGAAAAATATTTCTTGTAGTCTGTTATCTGCTTGTTTGCTCTATTTTTTTTTTGGAAAATTATACCTTCTTCAGAAGTCATTCTCAGATGTCAAGAATGGAAGATTTTCATCTCTCAAGATGTGGTGGTTGTGTTGAACGGTTAACCAGTGATATTCGGATGTAATTTGTTGTAGTAACGGAACGTCAGAATTGTTACTGTCAATATTAGCAGAGAGAGCTTTGTATAATTTCTTGGCGTGCGTACTGGCTTTCGGTGATTTTGATTGAAACTGGAATTATTGGAATATGCAGCACGTGTTCGCAGATTACTCGCGAATTCCCCGAATAAACAGTGTTTTTTACAAATTGCTCGGTAAAAATCAGAGCTTATTCCAAGAATTTTTCGTTGAAACATTGATTTTTTTTTTGTTTTCATCACTCGTATGAAATATGTATAAAAGATATAATAAGAGATAAAAACTTGTTAAACACGGATGTAAAAATAAATGAGAGGTAGCGTTTACATTTTTATAAATATAGGTTCATTTTTCATTTTATCTATGTTACTAACTGTCTGCCTTTCTTGCTTTGTAATATTGCTTATAGCACAATTTAACTGCTATTAATTTGTTAACATAGGCATATACTCGTGAAATATTTACCATGAATTTTGACATGTAAGGCATTGATATTTATTATCATATAAAGTATTAATATTGGTATCAATATTAAGTCAATATCATGTGAATATATTATAGATGAGCATTTATAATTAAATATTAGCAATATCTCTTTTTCTGCGATTAAACATTGTCAATTGAAACGAAAGGAAGACAGAGAGAAGCTAAAATATTATTGCTCTCGGTTTTATAATTAAATATTAGTCGTTTCATTGATCATCGCATGAAACGAAAAACAAAAGAAATAAAAATAGAATATATCGCTTCCAGTATTCTGTCGTGGGGCGTAAAATATAGATCCAGACTTTTTCGCAAGTTAATCTCCAAGCTGATCATAATAATGTTAAAAATAAAGAACTGTTCACAGTTCAAGTCCGGTAATTGTGAGATGATTTTCAAGTTTTCTAGAGCGGGGAACCACGAGTGTAAATGTTTCACGAACAATTTCTAACGCTTTAAAAAAAATCTCCGAATTGCTTAGATTATAGAATTACCGAAAGAGATATATATTTTTTTCATTTATTTATTTTCTTGAGCCGCTTCGGCATGCTTCTTTCTTTTTCTTCTTTTTGAAGGACATGGTCATGATTTTGACACGAAGGAAAGTGACAATGATCTGCTGCACGAGATTGACAGTGCTTTGAAATTCGGCAAGGGATTTCTGTTT